TATCCTTGCTCATATTTTGTTGAATATCAATCTTGCTAGGATATAATTATTAATAAGTTTTTTAAATTGGCATTAATATCATATTAGATTAGCATATACTCTATCCACCCCTCTAGGGTAATTTTATTTTCTAATCTCGATTATTTGATGACGATGCTCAAAATTCTCAATGTGGGTTGTAAAAAATTTTTTTGATAGAAAAAATTAATTTTTGAAATATTTGAGATATCTAGAATTAGATATAAAATATTTAGTGATTGAAGAAATATTGGATTTTACTAAATATAGAGTTTTTTTAAATTAAAAAGTTGAGATTATTTGTAGATTTTAATTATAAGATGGATGATTTAGATAGGATGCCACATGTCAAAGTATTATGTGAAGTAGGAAGCTTATGTGACATCTTCTATTGAGTTTGAAGGCTGTTTGATTCTGCTTTAATGTACATCCTAGTAAAAGATCTAATGACGATGCTCAAAATTCTCGGTGTGGGTTGTAGAATTTTTTTAGCAAAAAAAATCAATATTTTCACTGAATAATTTTGGAATATTTGGGGTATTTAGAATCAGGTATAAAATATACGGTGATTGAAGAAATATTAGATTTTACTAAATATAGAGATTTTTAAATTAAAGGTTGAGATTATTTATATGATTTTAATTATTAGATGGACAATTTAGATAAGATGACACATGTTAAAATATTTTATGAAGGAGGAAGCTGATGTTGCATCCTCTGGTGTGTTTGAAAGCCATGTGACATCCTCTCGTGAGTTTCAAAGCTATTTAGTTTTGCTTTAATATATACCCTAGTAAAAGATATCCAAAAGACTTTCATACAATTTTTACAAAAAAGTTTATAGAACTTATGGAAACTCAAAAGACTTCAAAATATTGAAAATTTTATAGGAAATAAAAATCCTAGATTAGAAAAGTCCTAAATTATAAACAATATAAGTTTATAGAAAAGACCCTAATTTAATAGAACACCATCAATTTACAAATTTACAGTAAAGATAACCATGAATCTTTCAAAAGATCCTTAAAATTTCATTAATTTATAAAATAATCTTGGAGCTTCATAGAATTTGATCAAGTAGGGTGAATTTGAATGGCAAAAAATATCATGGAATATCATGCAATTTGATGAAACAAGCTCAAGCAGAAACAATATTAGAATTTAGAACTTATTTACAATCATCATCTGCACAATAACTTTTACAACAAGAGCAAACATGTTTTCTATTTAAATGTAATATTACATTTTCAGATGTCATTCATTCATAAATTATGTATATTATTAAATATATTAATATACATATACATGTCTTCTTTTATAGGAAACATATATGTGTCATGTAATTAAAACAATTAACTGAGGTGATAGCTACAATAAAAACTATGAATCGATTAACTGGTCCTAAATCCTGATTCACATAGATTCAATAGATTGCTTCTACTCATTTCACACTTAAATTTATATATTATTATATGTAAACACTCAAAATTTTAATCTATGATACTTTCTCCTAAATTTATTATCTTCTTTTTTTATTAACTTCTCATTTTTCTGCATACAAAATAAATTCAATCAATAAAACAATTATGTTCACAATACAGTTATAGAAAAAATCATATCATACTCCCTTTAAAAGAGGGAGTTGTGCAAAAATTTTTCTAAAGACTATATTACCCCTATTCTCTTTTAATATTTTATTCTAATGCTAACTAAACTAAATTAATTATCATTGTTAATTAATTATATTAAATGTCACTTTAAGTTGGCATAATTTGGTCCCTAGAACTTCCAACATTATTATAAAACACTACATTATATTAATTATTAATAGTGAATAATAATATATTAATAGATAATTGCATGCCAATAAAGTATTTATGAAAAGAGTAGAAAATATAGAATTGTCCTAAATTATACCACATATAGAAAAATTACAAAGATCATTCTTATGTTTAGGTAACATGACAGAATGTACAAACATTAAATTTTAAAAAACATTAGGATATTTAAGCGCATCAAAATTTGTTATCTAAAATTAAAAAAAATACAACAAGATACAAAATGGAGGTATATAAGTATAATTTTGATAAACTACATGGTATTTAAGTTCAGTTAAGCCTACAAAAGATTTGAAACATTTGTTATCCACAAACAATAGTATATGATCCCAATGATAAATAATATTTATCATACAATATGAGGCCAGATGCTTAGTTTATATATATATATATATATATATATATATATATATATATATATATATAGTAGAGGAGATTGGAAAAATTAGAGCATCATATTTTAAATGAGTTTCAAGATTTTAAATTATTTCCTGAAATTGTATACTTCGCTTATAAAACTTTAGAAGAGGTTTTTGAAGGACTACTACAAAGTGTTAGACATCAAATAACTATTGAAAAAATAAAATTCATGATATCGGGTTGCAAAAATTAGGGATATGTATGCAATACTGGACGTCATATGAGATAATATTCATACATAACATGACGTTGTAATATGTAATCTAACATGTTAATGAATTTTAAACATAAGAATTTACATCAAGATATATGCTTAAGATTTTGGAGAGCTTAAAGTGGAGAGATTTGGGAGAAGAATTGTGGCATTTGTGGGTTTTGCGGGTTCCGATTTTGTTTCCCAAACATGATCCAAACCCCAACCCACAATCAAATTAAAAATGACATGATTTTCTTGTTATCTTCAAAGGGATTTATCGGTCATATTTTCAATAACGGTTGATATATCAAAAAGATCAACAAACGAAAGAAAATAATATAAAATATTACTGAGATAAAGTCTTTAACCCGATATATTAGCCGATATAACAATATATTGGTCAATATTTAATAGAATGCCTGTAAGAGCAAATATGTAAATGTTATTTAGATATTAGTTCCTTGATTTTAAATATTCAATGATTCTATGTTATTCCCACAAAATTTTGAATTTGCTCATAATATTAGGGACTAATATTAAATTATTAAAATTTTGAGGGACAAATTATAAATAAACCATATTTAAAAGAAGTGCTAGTTTTTTAAAAACCCTCTTAACTATGAGGATTGTCTTAAAAAAACCCACTTAACTGATTCAATTTGACAAAACCCCCTCAAATAACACCTCCCAACTTTGGTGTAATTTTAGAAAACACCTCTCAATTATAGCATATCTCATAAAAACTCCCATAATCATTTACACTTCTATTAACAAACCCCCTTAATGTAGTTACTTCGATATGTGCTTTGGACAAAATACCCTCTTCAAGAAAGTAATTTTAATTAAAAAGAAACCCCAAACCGATAATAAAAGGATCACAACCAATTTACAATTCTTTTTTCCCTCTATATCACCTCTTTTATCTGGCAAAAGCCAAGATAATTCTTTTATAATTGATTGATATTTTGGTCTTTTTAAGTCAAGTACTTGTCACATAATAGATAAGACTCAATGATCTTAGTTTTGAGAGGTTAGGTTTAAGTAAGAAAAGTTCACTAGGATTAAATTAATTTTTTAAGTTGAGATAGATTATCTACAAAGCACCCAAAACTTGGTGAAGATTTACTCAGTCTTAAAAAGTTTTGTCGGGCCTCCATAGTTGAGGGGGAGTTTTCTAAAATTAACTCTTAAACAAAAACACAACTTAAGGACATGTGATATCAATTTTATAATAGTGAAGTTTATAGTAATTCAATCACTTAATGAACTGGTTTGAGTTATTTGTCCTTAAATTTATCCTACACATCAACTCTAAAAATCTTTTGCTATAAGAATCTCTAAGAGAATTTTAATATTTATTTGGGATGAGTGTATGATCCTTCTAATTCCCCTTGTCTTTCATGATTCTTAATAAAGTATTTGACAAAGTAAATTAAGTTGTCGTTATATATTGTTCACATTCTTATAAGCTTATGAAGCTCATATCTTGGATATGAGTATCATTACAGATATTGTATTCTTCTAACTCCTTAAGCTAAATTTTAGATGTTGTTTGATATTAGATAGATATGAATTATTTTGTTAAAATACAATCAATATGAGTGCATAATATGTACAAATCATTCTCAGACTATATTTTATATTTTTTTGAAACTAGCGAGTAATCAATTAGTAATTGGGAAGATGTAAAAAGAGTACAATATCAGATATTAAAATTGACCACATAATTTATATTTTCTTTCTTAATTGAATTTGCGCATTCTAACTTAGAAAATTTCAGGAAAAAATTCTTGAATATCTATAATACTCAATCGCTAGATAAACAACAGGTGGAAGTGATTATTTTATAACTGAACAAAATCCTTAATGACTAGATAAAACCTACCATTTTCCTTAATGAATTCAAGAATTTATTATTTATTAATAGTAATAGGTTTTTTTATATTGGTCCCTTATATCATTAATATTTTGAAATTATACATTCAAATTACTAATTAATCTTAAATCATTAATATTTTAAGGCTTTATCATTAATATTTTGAAATTATACATTCAAATTACTAATTAATCTTAAATCATTAATATTTTAAGGCTTTAAACATCACTATTTCCATTCAAATTACTAATTAATCTTAAATCATTAATATTTTAAGGCTTTAAACATCACTATTTCTCTAGAAAACAAAATGTTAAAATCACACATGGAAATATCCAAAAAATTTAATATATTATGATAATTTCAAAGTTTTTTTACAACCATGTTATAGTAAATAAATAAACTTAAATTAAATAATTATAATATTTAATTACATACAGCGCACTTGCATTCCACCTAGTTAAATAAAAAAAGAAACAGTGAAAAATGTTTGATAATGTGCAATGCAAGTGCATCTCACTGAGTAAAAATTAAACACGGCAATTATTTTACGATGCCAACGGATCCAGATCCAAACTTCCAAACCCGGCCCAACCTAGAACCTCCATTCTCCCCAAATGCCTCGCCCAAACCCACAAAACCCGACCCGCTCTCGAAACCTCAACTCCAGAATCACCTTAAATCCTCTCATTTCGCCGGCGCCCGCATCAATCGAGCTCGAGAGCTAAACAATGGCGGAAGTCGCGAGCTCCGTAGTCCACGAGGTCCTCGGCCGAAGAGCCCTCGAGACAAGCCAATCATAGACTACATCGTCAACGTCCTCGCCGACGACGACTTCGACTTCGGCCTCGACGGAGACGGCGCTTTTGATGCGATTGGAGAGCTCCTTGTAGATTCCGGTTGCGTGATCGATTTCTCCGAGTGCCGATCTGTAAGTAATGCTTTGAGATTATTATATGTTGGGATTGAACGCTAGATGTTTGTTGATATGCCTGTTTGAAGTTTGGTGTTCTCAGCCTAGGGTTTGACTATGATTTTAATCAATTTCTTAAGAGGATTAGGAAATCATGTGTTTATAGGATTGAATGACAATTTGAGGATAGAACGGGGGAAAATGGTTATTTCAAGCGCAATTCTTAACCCTTGAATCATTTTCTCTACCTTCAATCTCTTTATACTTTTTGTTATGTTCTCAAGAGATTTCTCGAGAAATCGAGGAAATTTTGAAGCTTATGAGACGAATGAATGGAAATATATTAAAGGATATGATGATCACTCCGAGCACCGAGCATAATAATGAATAAACTCTTCTAGCTTCAATTTCTATGTATGTTTTGTACTGATCTTGAACTTTAGTTGTTTGTTGGTTTATGTGTGAATCTCATAGGAAGTGTACTAGGTTTTTGCTACCTTTAGAAGAATTATTTTGTGCTGTGGAGCAAGGGAGAAAGCCAGGATTCAAGCTTCTGGGGTGCTAAAACCTGGGACTTTTGGACTTTGTACTTTGAGCTTTGGCTTGTGGTCTTTAGCTCATAAGCTTTTGGTTAAGACTTGCGAGGCCAAGGCCACCTCACACTCCTAAGCTCTGCCCATGCAGTGGAGATGGATGAGCACAATAGTTAAAAGTGATAAACTTAACAAGGATATATGTTGTAATAAAAGGATTGATGTATGCAATTAAATTTTGTTAACAGCATAGGATTTGCTTTGAAATTGCAAAGGCTACATTTTGATTAGGTAAATTTACTTCCATGGAATTATTCAGTGCTAATTATACTGTTTTTAATGCATGTATTAGTTGTTACGTTATATCCATCAATAGTATTGTGTAGGTAAAAGTTTCTTATTTTTGTGGGTTTTGTTTTTGTTTTCAGTTTGATTGCTAATATATGTTCCTTGTGGAAAATACTTAAATACAGGTATGTAATAAGCTCTCGGAGAAATTTGGACGACATGGTTTGGTCAAACCCAAGCTGGCTGTGAGAAGCCTTACAACACCCCTGCGGATGTTTGATGGAATGGATGAAGAAGCTCCCAAGAAAAAAGAAGAGGTGTTTGATGGTCCTTTACTATCTGAAAGAGATCGGGCTAAGCTTGAAAGAAGAAAGAGGAAAGATGATCGGCAAAGAGAGGCAAGCCCTCTCTCTTCAGTTTAATTTTACTACGTCATGTCTTGATGCCTATCCTAAATTCCTAATTTATCTATGTTTTAAGCCATACCACATTACCTTTGTGAAGCTTTGTTTTTTTACATCCTCCATCACTGGGCTTTCCTTGTGTCTTAACTTTTCATAGATACAGTCATTTAGCTATGCCCGATTCAACTTCATCATTAATTCAAGAGATGTTACTTTAGAGTTATAGAGTATATGTTAATACCTTGTGATGCTTCGAGCAATCTTTTGTGTCATTCTACTTGTCATACCATGATGCCCTATGACATTGTGTTTTAACTAGTACTTTGCTGCCGAGCAGGCACAATATCAGATGCATTTGGCAGAAATGGAAGCGATTAAAGCTGGGATGCCTACGGTAAGCGTGAACCATAATGGAAATGAGGGTGGTTCTGCTGCTAGGGATATCCACATGGAAAACTTCACTATTACTGTAGGTGGTCGTGATCTCATTGAAGATGGTACAGTGACCCTTTCTTTTGGAAGACACTACGGTGAGTTAGCATGACTTGTGAATTCCTCTAACCAGAAAATCTACTTATAATATTGCTTATTTTGCAGTCCAAGGATGTTTTCATAATTATTGTGTACTATAATTATGATTTATCTTGCTAAACCACTTGCAAGTCAATTCAAAAAAAATTATCAATGGCTAGAGACCTATAAAATAAAATTGTCTTACTTAAACTCCTGAAGCAAAATTATTATTCCATGTCTTAAATTTGTTTTTTTTGCACATTTTCATTTCCTCATGATAATATTTATTAGGCCTTGTTGGGAGAAATGGCACTGGAAAAACATCTTTCCTGCGGCATATGGCCATGCATGCTATTGAGGGCATTCCCAAGAACTGCCAGATATTGCATGTAGAGCAAGAAGTTGTGGGTGACGATACGTCAGCCCTGCAGTGTGTACTGAACTCTGATGTGGAGAGGATCCAGCTGCTGGATGAAGAAGCTCGTCTGCTCGCGAAACAGGTATTTCATATACACGCACGCACACAGATTTATATATATTCTTTTCTATTTTCATTAGACGCTATGGGAAGCCCTTATCTTTAATATAAGTGACCATTTATTCCACTCCAAGCTCACAACATGAATTATGTTTGTTTGGCAGAGAGATATAGAGTATGGACAAGGATGGCATTTCGAAAAGGCTTGAACAGATATATAAAAGGCTTGAATTCATTGATGCATATTCTGCTGAATCACGGGCTGCTACAATTTTGGCGGTTAGTTTTTGCAATCTATTAGATCTTGGATGGCTTCGCGAGTATTACTTTTAAGCATTATGTGGCCCATTCTTGGAAAGACCCTGAACTCACTTACACATACATGTAGCTATATGTTATTACATGTTTAAAAGATACAAGTTCTTACATGGTAAAAGTTCCACTGTGCATGGTTCTGGGTGCTAAAAATCTTTTATGTTTTCTGCACTAAGGCCTGGCTTGAATTCATTGATGCGTATTCCTCTTGAACTGAGGGGGTGCTAAGTGCTAATAAATTAGCTAAGGAGTGTTAGGTGCTACTAAAAGTATAGATGAGGGGATTATCTGTTATTTACCCATTTATGAATTCCAAACTAAGAGCTTGCATGCCATGATTTTCCAAACTGAGGCACATATTTGATTGAGATGGTTAAGACTCTCATATACAAGTGCGGCGGTCGCTGAAATGCTGATCCTAGTTAATGAATGCACGTGTATTTCGATAGATGCTCAATCCTTTAAATGAACCTGTTAAGTGTCTTCATTAGATATGTCATTTCTGCGACCTCATGCCGGGGTGGTTTTATTTTTATTTTTATTTTTTGTGTTTGTGGGGGGGATTTTCTTTCCTTTTTACCGAGGTTTATATCCCACTTTGGTTAAATTCATCTTGGATAATGTCCAGTTCAGGATATTCATACCCATATAGAATGAAGCTATACCAAATTCTATTGTTATTTTCTTGATGTTACAAAAAACCACGTTCCTGGCAGAGTTACTCAAACTCAAGCCCTCCCTTTTTTAATAAATGACTCAATAAGTTCATTTGTTATTCAATTAACACAGCCTGAGTGGTGAGACAATTAAGGATATGGACATGTGATAGTTGTCTTACCTACAAGAAGAAGACATCAGGGAGGAGTTTAGGGTTCTTCTAGAAGAGTAGTGTAGGACTCTTATGGCCTGTTTGGATGGAGGGTGGAGAGGGGGAAGGGAAGGGAAATTTCATTTTAATCTTGTTTGGGAGTTTCATTTAGGAGGGTAGAGGAGGGGAAATTTGACCCAAATTCTTACACCCCAAATTGGGGTGTAATGGAGGGGAAGGGAAGGAAGAGGAATTTTTTCCCTTCCTTCCCTTTCCTAAGTAAACTCCCAAACACACCATTAAGGGCAAGAAATATCACACGTTAAATGATGTACCCATAATACAGAATCATTTTCTTTCAATTCCTATCATGTTTATCACTGTTATAAATAGCGGTAAATAACCCCGCAATAGCGGCGCTAATAGCGTTAGTGATCCCTTCTCGTGACGCTATCGCCCGTTACGCTATCGCGCAATAACGGTGACATATTGCAGAATATGTCTGTTCGCAAAAGTGGCCAATAGTGTGTCATAACGGTAAATAATGAGCGATTGCATTCGATTTGATTGCTATTTAACAGCTGTTTGAGGCTTATTTTTTTAAAATTGAACTCAACCCTTGACCATTGCATTTCACTGTCTCATGTGATTTTCAGCATACTCCTGTCACCTCTCATAGCCTCTGGCACCTACCTTGATACTTCCTCTCACCTCCTTCACCGTGAGCTTAAGCTCTTCTTCTCGAAGACGACAACTTTTTGACTCCTCCAGTCATCTTCGGTATTGCGTGATGGTTACATGTCTATTTCATGTTTAGAATCTTTTTAAATCATCCAATATGTACTTTTAGATTTTTTTTAATTTTTTAGTATTTATACATATCTAAATTAGACCGCTATTTGACTTTACGCTTTTTACCGTTATTTTTCCGTAATAGCCCGAAATAGCCTTAGCGATGCCTCAACGCTACGCGACGCTATCCGCTATCGATAACCTTGCTGTTTATATACTTTTACAAAGTTCATAAAAATCTCTCTGTATACATTGTTTTCTACAAATCTTCTTGTGTTACCAAGCATTATTAGTAAATAATTTGGGCTTGTTTCTCTTAATGGGTTGAAAGTATACCGATAGATCTAATTTAGACTGATTGGACACTAATAGGTTGAATACATATTGATATCGTGTGCATGTTTGAATGTCTATGCAAAGTAATACTTGCATCTTTCAAGTAAAGAAAATGAAGGATGATGAATGCCTATGCAAAATAACATTCACATCTTTGATTGAGCTAGTTGTCACTCTTCTCTGAGAATAACTGCTACAAATTTTTAATAAACATTATGCTGTTTTTGGAAATTTGCAGGGTCTTAGTTTCACACCAGAAATGCAACGGAAGCCTACAAAAGCTTTTTCTGGTGGATGGCGTATGCGAATAGCTCTAGCCCGTGCTCTTTATATCGAACCTGATTTATTATTACTTGACGAGCCAACGGTAAAGTGTGGAATCAGTTGCCTCCATTTCTTCTGTTAGAAGATTTAAAAGTTGATAGTTGATTAAAGATACATCTTTTACAGAACCATTTGGATCTTCATGCTGTATTGTGGCTTGAAACCTACCTTGTGAAATGGCCAAAGACATTTATTGTAGTCTCTCACGCCCGAGAATTTCTGAATACGGTACCGTTCTCTTCTCTCCTTGAAATATTTGAAATTGCCAAGAAACTTGAATCCGGATGAAATCATAGCATCGTACTAATCGTACAATGCCCATATCTTGAAATATTTCAGGTAGTTACCGACATCCTTCATTTACATGGACAAAAGCTTACTGCTTATAAGGGGGACTATGATACATTTGAGAGGACACGCGCAGAACAACTCAGGAATCAACAAAAGGCGTTGGAGACAAGTGAAAAGGCTAGAGCACACATGCAGGTCAGGATATCAATTGTTCTCAAGTGCATGGGGTGGTGTTGTAACAGTTTTTGTAATATAATTGCAACCATTGTTGTCCAAGGCACGATTTGTTGCCACTTATGTTTGTAATTTTGCAATCGACTTGCAATTCTTCACCATATTATCTTCAGTGAAGAAAAGTTAGAAAAGTCACTGTAGGAAGGACATGATGACCATTCTGTCCTCTAATACACTGGTAGTAACGAGCTAAGGTAAGTGGGTTAAGAGACTTTAACTTGTGTTTGTGTGTCCGACCAAGTTTTTGTCAATACAAGTTAAAATATCTGGAACCACGGTTTATTCCAATCTCACATCTTGGATCATTTTTTCCTGGGTTAAATTTGTCAGACTTATTTTTTATACTGTTTTGATCATAATTCTTAGCCATTGCCCAAATACAGCAGAAGAGAAAAGTGCCATTTCAATTCTACAATCATTTTTTGCTATAGGTCTAAACTCTAAATGGGTAGGCCCTTTATTTTGCTTCTCTTTCTTTCATACATATGCACACATATTACACACATGCATTATAGATATATTTATCTATACTGATAGCATGTTCATGCATGTCTGCTGCATGCAGAGGGTGATCTAAATCAGGACTGAAGTGGATATTGTCAAAACCCGAAGTTACTACTTGTATTTTTATATGCATTAAGAAAAGTAGAAGACAAATATTGGGTGTTGGTCTTGCCAAAATACAGCTATGAAACCATAGTCCTGCTGCATGCAGATGGCGATATAAATCAGGACTGAAGTGGATATTGTTAAAACCCAAAGTTACTACTAGTATTTTTGTATGCATCAAGAAAAGTAGAAAATAAATTCTGAGTGTTGGTACAGCTATGTAACCAAAGTCAATGGAAGAGTAGTATCAACATTTACATAGTTACATGTTAGATCGAAACGCATCAGATAGTACAATTGATTTACAGAGTTAATTACTTCCACTGGCTTAATTTTCACTAACAAAAACTGTGAACTGTCTGATTCTTTCTGTTTTGTGCAGGCCTTCATTGATAAATTCAGATACAATGCGAAAAGGGCGTCACTTGTCCAGTCAAGAATCAAGGTGATTTCACATTAAGTTTGATGAGGGAGCATTGGCAATTGACTTAGTGTGCTGATATTGAGTAGTTGTAAAGTATTCAGACCATTTCAAGATAAAACCTGCAAAACTTTCTTTGATTTTTATAAAATGTGCGCCTGGTGAATGATTTCCAATTAGAGTCTGAGGTCAAATTTCGGTTTGCTTTTAGCAATATACTGCCTATTAATATTTTTTTTTCTATCTATGACTATACAGGCATTGGACCGAATGGGTCATATGGATGAAATCATCAACGATCCGGAGTATTATTCCTTCTTTACCTGGAAATTTTTACTTCAGCTGTGATTCATGTTTCAGTTTTTTTTCCTTTTAGTTTATTTATTTAAAACTTTTGCATTGAATATTTGAGCAAATAATGTTTTTTTTTTTCAGTTACAAATTTGATTTCCCGACGCCAGATGACAGGCCAGGACCACCAATCATTAGCTTCAGGTTTTTTTTCTTCCTCTTCATTCATAGTAAATATTTTTGGAACTTTAAACTTAAGGGTCTGTCTGTTAAAGATACTAGGTAATATGTGTACTATCTATGTCTTGCTAGTGTTGGCAGTACTTTCTGCTAAAGCAGCATTTATGACGAGGGTGGCAACTGGGCAGGTTCAGCTCTCTATCCGGCCAAACTGCCCAGTTTGTTGTTGTCCCAAGTCCTGTCCAGTTTTTGTCTCCGTAGGTCCAAAGCATGGAAATACTGGTCTGGCTGTGGGTCCGTCCAGGCTCAAGCTGGAACCCAGACTTGAACCGGCCAGGTCAACTCCCCCTCCCCCAATTGAACTAGCTTTTGGCGCAACATCTAGGTTCCGACGGTCTGTTGGGTGTTGGGAGAATAAAATGAATGGGGCTTGTAATTTTTTCTTTTACACTTTTTCTTTCATCTAACTCCCGACAGTCTGTTGGCTATTGGGTCAAAAAAATGAAAGGGGTTTGTAATTTTTTGCTTTTACAGTTTTTCTTTCATTTTCCTATAAATGCCCCTATCTTTCATTTTCCTATAAATAGCCTCCATGTCTTCACTTGAAAACACATCTAACACAAATTCTGCTTCTCGAGTATTCTACAAGCTTTCCAAGCTTTCAGCCTGATGCTCTCTATTGATGAATATTATTTCTAATTTATGAAACTCATTTAGGAGTGGTACAAAGCATTATCCCAATTCCCAAGTTCGGGTTGGCTACATAAATCCTATTTTTCCCTTTCATTTCTACTGCAGGTCATCTTCTCCATCAGGTTAACTATTATCATATCTTGTTAATTTTTTTCCAACTAAGTTCTTCTAGGTCGACTTCTAGTCCTCTTTGCGCCCATTAACTATAGTCTTATCATTTCTAAGTAGCGCACGTAGTGACCTCAGTTGTACATGACCAAAACATCTGATTCTCTTCCATTTTATTTTGATAGGAGCAACCTCTAAGCTTCTGTGAATGCACACATTTCTTACCGTATCTTTTTTATGTATATCCACAAGACCATCATAACATTTTCATTTCCGCCACACTCAAGTTTTGCACATCCCGTTTCTTAATTTGCCCAACATTATGATCCATAAAACATTATTGGTCTTAGTAACTGTCCTATGGACCTTTAATCTCATCTGTATTCTATGGGCACAAGACTCTAGAAGCACTCCTTTGGTTTAACCATCATGATTTGATTTGATGAATCACACCATCTTCAATTGACCATCATGACAAATACTTGTGATCCTAAATAACAAAAGTGATTACTCTGGGCTCTTGGGTATTTTCTTGACATCAATATGCAATATTTCACTCATTCTTCTAACAGTTTTATGAAAATGTGTACTATTTTTCATCAATAGAGTTTGGTTTTTGTTACACAATTATGTAATATGTTACTTTTCCTCAATTAACAGCTGTATATGTTCAAATCTTATTAGTAATTTCTGAGTTATTTAGTTTTCTGAATTATGAGTTAAATTAACTATGTTAAAAAAAACCTATTCTTGCCTGTGCGCCAAGTCTGTTCCAATTATGGCAAAAAAAACCTATTCTTGCCTGTGCGCCAAGTCTGTTCCAATTATGGCGTGCTCATAAGCTGATTCAAACAAGGCCTCTAACTGGCTGGCAAAGCGCAGCCCATTGAGGCCCGAACTGGAGCTGCCAAGGACTGGCGTGGGTTTTAACCAGGTCTGCGCTATTTCCAACTGTTGCACAATTTTCAAAGAGAGCTAAGCTTGGGGTGTGAGTAATTTTAGTACTTCTTTCATTTAACTATTCTTGTGGTTTCCTTTCAGTAACCAATTTTATTTGAAAGAAAATAACCAAATCAGCTATAGCTATTCTTATTGAGAGAGCTTTTTTTCTTTTTTTGTTTCTACATTCATGTACGTGTATGTGTGTGAGAGAGTTCGTGTGATATGTGTAGCCCTTAAAAAAGCGTAATGGTAATAGTGATGGAAAATTCTGTTGAAAAAGCAGTCAAGACAATAACATTTGTAAGGACCCTGTATCTCTTTTCGTAAGGTCTGGTTGGAATCCTTATTTGGTTCCATTATTTATATAATTTTTGTCCTTGTTATTTGCCTTCAAAATAGTTTATTTATTTATTTATTTTATTTGAAAGATGAATATATGCCATTTCATCCTTTGATCTATATGTCTGTAAGCATTGTGTTGTTTGTGGTTGCAGTGATGCGTCATTTGGTTATCCAGGGGGTCCAATCCTGTTCAAGAACTTGAATTTTGGTATAGACCTAGATAGCCGCATTGCAAGTAAGTACTTTGGAAATTATCTATTACCATTCTTCACTTTTCAGGAACATTTAAGTTTGAATTGATTCTCCATCCAAAATAAGTATCTTTGTTTTGAATGAGCAAATTTCTTCCGTGTTATAATTATTGGCGGTCATAACTTTCCAATAGCATCTTGTATGAATACCATGCTTCATTGTTGTATCCACGTGTGCATGCATGTGTGTGTGGATGGATGGATGGATGCATGCATGCATGTGTAGGAATAATGGGTATGAGCTGGAGATTTTTTTTTTGGTTGCAGTTAACCCTTTTTATTTCTTTGAGAAAGACAAAGCTCAATGAAGCTTAAACACCAAGGTGCGGTTTGGCAAGGGGTTAAGGGAGAAGTTTCCAGGGGAAGGGCTAACTTAGTTAACCCTTCACGAGAGGTTAAAAATAGTTCAGTTCATTTGGATTTGATAGTCAAGATGAAGGGTTAAGTATTTTGTGTTTGGCAAATAAAGAAGGATTAAGGAGGTTAGTTGCCATAAACATCTAAGTATATATATTTTAAAAGTCTTATTTCTTATTTCCAGAGGGAGTTGCTGTTAACCATCCGTGTCAAACCCCTGTAAAATAGGGGTTAACTAATAACCCATGCGAAGTGTTTGTTAACCCTTTGGCCAAATCTATACCTGTTTGGGTGGTTAAGGAGGGGTTAAGCCCCCTAAACTCTTCTCTTAACCCCTTGCCGCCCCCTAAAGGTTTACTGCCATTTTTTCCCCTCTCTCTTTTCATTTTCCCTTTTTGCTTCTCACTCTTCTCTCATCCCATATCAAGGATCTTTGGATCTTTCCTTTCCCTTCTTCTATCATTTTCCCCTTTCATATTGTCCACTCCCTTTTGGTGTTTAAGTTTCATTGGTTGTCTTTCTCAAAGAAACAATAAGGGTTAACTGCAAAAGTGAGAGAGATTTGCTGCCAAACCAATGGCACGTTAGTCGACTCCTGTTTTGCAAACCAAAATAGACTCAATTCATGCCATTATTTCCCAGATATACGCCCTCACCAGTACTAAGGGGAATTTGTTTTCAGTTGGGGTTTTTGTTCCTTTTTCTTTTGTCTTTCAGTCTTCTTGTTTTTTTTGTTTTTGTTTTTTTTTTTGGGGGGGGGTTTATATGATGGTTCCATTGTATGTTAACAATTGCTGTCATTTTGATTGTTAGACGTTGTGCAAGTGTTTTTGTCCTTCTGACACTACCTGCTTTCTGCTTGTTAGTCTACAAGCATATTGTATGGGGAAATTATACACACACACACACACACATTGCTAATGTGCATAGTCCCTCTATATAAATTTGAACCATGTGGTTGCATCTCTATTCTTCTTTTATTGTCCTCTCACATGGAGGGGAAGCCTCATGCATTGGTTATTTTAGAATTGTTTCCCCTTCTAAGTTCTAAGTCCTAATTGACATGTTCAAATTTGTTTAGTGGTGGGTCCAAATGGCATTGGAAAGTCAACTATACTCAAACTAATATCTGGAGAGCTTCAGCCAACTTCTGGAACAGTATTCCGCTCGGCGAAGGTACTTTTGATCTTTCTCTGAGGGCTTTTGTTTTTATCACATTCTTCTATTAAATATTATTGGCATTGTTTTGCTTCAGTATTAGCGTAACCTCATTGTTTAGTGTCTTCATGTGATTGAAAACCTCTTATGTAAGTTATATATTCTGTGATCTTAGATTCTTTGAATGCACGACTCTCTACATAATATTTGAAACTTTGAAACAGTGAGGAAGGTGAAGTTGAATAATTCATTGTTATTGTTTCTGATGCGGTCACAGCTAACAGTTAGATGAATATAAATTCAATTTGAACCTTATGCGAAATGTAGATCATGTGATTACATGGTTTGCTCTTTGCTTAGTTTTGCATGATCAAGCTCGTCAAATCTTTATATCTTGGTATGGTGATCATTGATGATTGGTCTTTTTTCCTTTTGTATGAGGTGACGTGCTACTTGGGTTTCTTACACTAATTGTTTTCATATGCATGCTGTACGGATTTTCTTGAAAATGCCCAAAAGAACTTTTTTTGAATAATTGATTGCAGGCCACATTTATCTGGTTTCCTTCCCCATGTTGCTAGAGTTTCACACTTACATATGTAGATATAAGTGATAAAGGCTAACATTCAATAGCATACTCATCAGTAAGAACCAGATGTACTTGCTTATATTGTGACATAGCAGGGTGCACTCGATCCATACATAATTCTTCGTTCATAAGCTAGACTGTTCCAATTTTATACATGCTTCATTGCTGCTGAGGAGATATTAATGCTCACCTATTATGCTTTCTCACAGGTTCGTATGGCTGTCTTCAGTCAACACCACGTTGATGGGCTTGACCTATCTTCAAATCCTCTTCTGTACATGATGCGCTGCTATCCAGTAAGTTATGTGTTTGTCACATTGTTATAACCTTACATATTGGAAAATGTGTATACTGACTACAATTACATTCCTTAAGATAGTTACTTCCTTCGTCTTCCGTTAAAAAGTTATTGCTTACTTTTGCAAAGTAGTGCCAGAAACATGTATGCAGATGAAGATGTTCCAGATAATTAGTAATTATCGTTTAGTTTGATATTTACTTACTCTGTATTATTGTCTTATCCCACATATCCACTTAAGCTTTCTGGATAAAGTGGTTGATACGAGTTGCCGTGCGAGCACTCTTGATCGCGGAATTATCAAGAGTGGGTAAAGAGAAAACGACAGAAGAACACAAGAGTTGAATTAGCGCGAAGGAAAATACCTTCTCTAGATTATGAGAATCAATTGGATTTTTACAAATCTCTCTCTCACAATCTCTCTAGATCAAAGAACAACCTCCCTGATATCTTTTCTGATTACAAACTGAGTTTAAAACCCTAGAAAAGTCGTGTTTCTATTTATACTAAACAGAAATCCCAACTGGAGCAGGAAACAGACCCAGGCCCGTAACCGCTACGCGGTCGACCGCAGTGCCCAAGGCGGTCGACCGGTCAGAACGTCGAAATCTGGGAAATCGATTACAGGGTTTTCCGGTCGACCGCAGCGCCACCTTCGGTCGACTGCTCTCAGTCCCGAGACATAGTCTGGGTCTGTGCACTAAGCGGTCGACCGCCGCGACCAAGCCGGTCGACCGGCCAGAGCCCAACTGTAATTCCTGCAGTTTTGACGAATCCTTCGACTTCGTTGCTTCCAATGGCCTCTTCCACGACTCCTCTACTCTATTCTCAAGATACCATGAAATCATCTATCCTCAAGCTGCTCCTCTCTATCAAACCACAAGTCCTCAACATGCGGTAAGATCAACTTTTCATCACCTTCATCATCCAATAACGGAGGTTCAAACAACTTCAAGTACTCGGCATTGATCACTGAATACATGCCTAAGTAAGGTGGCAAATCTAAACGAAAAGCGTTGTCGCCAATCTGATCGAGAATTCGAAACGGACCATAACGAATAGGCTTCAACTTCTTCCCTTCTCCTTTGAGCCTCTTCTTACTCAATTTTAGCCATACCATATCGTCTTTACTAAAGTTACAAGGAACCCGATGCTGGTCATGCTTCGCCTTGTACTTAGCTTGTGATTTCTTCAATTGAGCTTCAACCATGGCATGAATGTTTGCAATCTTCTCGAGAAATCGCTGAGCACGTAGTCTTTCACTCCCTTCCTTGCCGTCCACTGTGGCTTCACTTGAAAACACAAGATCGAACGGGCTCGGCGGTAAAAACCCATAACAAGTCTCAAATGGTGACTTTCCGGAAGATCCATGAATCGCCCGATTGAAAGCAAACTGCAAATATGGTAAACTCTCATCCCAAGTCTTAGGATGCCTGGAATTATACCCCCGCAACATATGCACCATAGTCCGGTTGACTACCTCCGTTTGTCCGTCTGTTTGTGGATGAAAGGCCGTGCTCTTCTTCAATTTAGTGTCCATCAAACACCACAAAGAATCCCAAAAATGCCCGAGAAACCGGCTATCCCGATCCGAAATAATCGAACTCGGCAACCCAAAGTGCTTCCACACATGTTCGAAGAACAATTGTGCTGCACCCGCTCCCGTCACGGTCTTCTTACAAGGAATCAATATCACCATCTTACTGAACCGGTCCACCACAACGTACAAATAGTCATGCCCGCGCTTCGTAGTCGGCAACCCTCCTAGAAAATCCATAGAAATGCTCTCCCACGGCCTAGAAGGAACCGGTAATGGTAGGTACAATCCCCTCTTTCTGTTAGAAGGCTTCGAAATTACAAATAGTCATGCCCGCGCTTCGTAGTCGGCAACCCTCCTAGAAAATCCATAGAAATGCTCTCCCACGGCCTAGAAGGAACCGGTAATGGTAGGTACAATCCCCTCTTCCTGTTAAAAGGCTTCGAAATACAGCATAATTTACACCCCCAACATACTTGGTCACATCATCAAGCATCCGTGGCCAAAACACATGTCGCCGTAGATTGAGAAGCGTTTTCTGAATGCCAAAATGCCTTTGCACACGCGAGGTATGTTCTTCCCGAATCCACTGCAACCTATCACCATCCTCCGGAATGCATAGTGATGCCCCACGATACAATAAGCCATCATCTCCAAGTGCATACTCCCCTCTTTGACCAGCCTTCGCCTGCTCAAATACACTACCGAAGTCTCTACTGGATGCATACAACTGAACATACTCAAAAGGAACCAAGGGCTGAATACGCGTCGCCACCAACAACGACCTTATCGGTGGGCGAGATAACATATCGGCCAACTTGTTCGTCGCCCCCTTCTTGTACCTAATAATGATGTTGAAAGCCATCAAATAAGACATCCACTTCATGTGCCGCGCCTGCTGTAGCTTCGTCTGGGCATGTAAGAACTCCAACGGCTTATGATCCGAATGCACGACCACCTCCTTCCCTAACAAGTACACCCTCCAATGCTTAATTGCTTGATATAGTGCATAGAACTCCTTGTCGTAGGTTGGGTAGTTCGCAACAGCACCCGAAAACTTCTCAGAATAGTATTCCACCGGTTTCCCATCCTGAATCAACACCGCGCCCATCGCATAATTAGACGCGTCGGTCTCTACCTCGAAAGTCCGCTGCAAATTCGGCAACGCCAACACTGGTGCCTCCGAGATCTTCCTTTTTAGCAACTGAAAAGCCTCCTCATGCGTCTTTCCCCACTCAAACTGAACTTTAGCCTTTGTGAGGCCATGTAACGGTGCCGCATAAGTCGAAAAATGTCGAATGAACTTGCGCAAATACTGGCAAGCCCCCATGAAGCTCCTCACCTCAGTCACTGTCTTCGGCGTCGGCCACTTTGTGATCACCTCCACCTTACCTAGATCTATCCTTCGCTGGCCCTTCCCTACGATGAAGCCGAGATACACCAACTCGTCCTTCCCGAACTCGCACTTTTTCCCGTTGAGCTTCAGCTGTCCATCGTGCAACACTTCAAATACCTTCTCAACATGAACAAGATGCTCCTCCCAGGTCCTGCTGTACACCAAGATATCATCAAGGTAAACTATCACAAAATCCTCTATAAAGGGTCGCAACAAATCATTCATAAGCCTCATAAAGGTAGCCGGAGCATTGCACAATCCAAACGGCATCACCAACCACTCGAACAGGCCTTGCTTGGTCTTGAACGCAGTCTTCCAGGTGTCTTCCTCCCGAATCCTCACCTGATGGTAACCAGACTTCAAATCCAGCTTCGTGAAAAACCTCGCTCCCTCCAACTGGTCCATAAGATCATCGATCCGTGGTAATGGGTAGCGATTCTTGATGGTAATCTTGTTGAGTGGCCGATAATCTACGCACATGCGCCAACCTCCATCCTTTTTGGGCACCAACAACACTGGTGATCCACAAGGCGAACAACTCGGCATAATCACTCCCGTCTTCAAGAGCTCCTGAACTTGCTTCTTGATCTCCTCGGACTCCAGTACTGATGTGCGGTATAGGCCTATGTTAGGTAAGGAACTCTCCCCGGTCAACATAATCTCATGCTCTACACCTCTACGCGGTGGTAGCCCCGTGATCTCCGAAAATAAGTCCGCATACTTGGCCTTTAACCTTTCAAGATCTCCCTCCTGAAGCTTGCTCAAGACGGACAAGCACATCCTACTCAGTTGCTCTTCATACGGCCGAATAAACAATAAAACGAACTTCCTGCCCACGTTCACCAACCTCTTAGCCTGAGTCACTGTCACCAAGCTCGTCTCCTGTGGAAGAGACGCCGAACGAAAAACGAATTGCTCGCCATCCTTGGTGAACGTATACTTTTGGGCTCGCCGATCATATACTGCGTATCTATCCCACAAATAAGGATTGCCCAAAATAACTTGGCAAACATCCAACGGAACCACGTCGCATGTGACCTCGTCAATATACGACTCGTGGAGTGCAAATCTGAATGAACACTGGTTCACCACACTCAATCCCGCCTCCTTCTGAATCCACCCTAATGGATAGGGCTTCGGATGCTTCACCGTCTTCAATCCCAGCTTATGTACTAATGCCTCAGATATCAGATTTTTCTGACTCCCTGGATTTACAATAGCATCCACTAAGCTGGTCTTGACCTGCAATTTCAGAACAAAGAGCTGCTCCCTCGGGTCGTCATCTTCTTTGGTGGCCTGCTTCCCCGTCATAAGGTTGAAATCCCCCTTTGTCTCATTGCCCTTCTTCTGCCGGCCCTCAATGGCAATGACCTTCACACTCGCCTCTGCGATGGTTTCTACTGAAAACAGCTTCATCTCCTTCCGGATGTAATCATTCAGACCCGTCATGTACTTCATGAAGACGGAGTACTCGGACGTTGCGATGTTTAGGACCATCGCCTGTTGCTGGAACTCCGTCGTGTACTCTTGAACGGTCTGATTAAACTTCTGGCGTAAGCTGTACCACTTGTACCAACGCTCCTCAAGGAACCCCACTGGATAGAACTGTTTCCGTAGTAGCTCCTTGAACTTGTTCCACGACGCCGCTTTCTTCTCTTGTTTGCAATAGGATTTCCACCACGTCAAAGCGTGCCCGGAAAGCTTCAATGTCGCGAACACTATCTTCTCCTTGGACGAATATCCGTAGAGAGTGAAGTATATCTCCATACGTTCGATCCAATTATCAAGCTTCTTCACGTTGATACTCCCATCATAAACAGGAATCTCAACCTTGAAGTCAATCTTCAGATTTTGATAGTTGTTCTTACCCTCTTGATGTCCAACGGTCTTGACAATCTCAGTCTCCCCCTCTGAATCAGATTCCTCGTGCTCTTCGTCGGATTCGACGAGTTTCTTCTTACCCTTCGAAGAAGATTCCTCCTTTTTGTCACCTCCGTTGATTAGACCCACGAGTTGAGTAAGAGTCGTCCCGATCGTCTCAATCTGCTTCTCCATGGCATCAAGTCTCGCTGAATTATCTGCTTCAGTCATCTTCTCCCTCCTTAATTTCTGGACTCCTTCCAAAGAAATAAGGATCTCGCCAAGCTTCTTGTACTATGAGCGAGTAAGGACCATACACAGGTTCCCCCTTCACAGGATCTAGATGCTCTGATACCAACTTGATACGAGTTGCCGTGTGAGCACTCTTGATCGCGGAATTATCAAGAGTGGGTAAAGAGAAAACGACAGAAGAACACAAGAGTTGAATTAGGGCGAAGGAAAATATCTTCTCTAGATTATGAGAATCAATTGGATTTTTACAAATCTCTCTCTCACAATCTCTCTAGATCAAAGAACAACCTTCCTGATCTCTTTTCTGATTACAAACTGAGTTTAAAACCCTAGAAAAGTCGTGTTTCTATTTATACTAAACAGAAATCTCTTTTCTGATTACAAACTGAGTTTAAAACCCTAGAAAAGTCGTGTTTCTATTTATACTAAACAGAAATCCCAACTGGAGCAGGAAACAGACCCAGGCCCGTAACCGCTACGCGGTCGACCGCAGTGTCCAAGGCGGTCGACCGGTCAGAACGTCGAAATCTGGGAAATCGATTACAGGGTTTTCCGGTCGACCGCAGCGCCACCTTCGGTCGACCGCTCTCAGTCCCGAGACATAGTCTGGGTCTGTGCACTAAGCGGTCGACCGTCGCGACCAAGCCGGTCGACCGGCCAGAGCCCAACTGTAATTCCTGCAGTTTTGACGAATCCTTCGACTTCGTTGCTTCCAATGGCCTCTTCCACGACTCCTCTACTCTATTCTCAAGATACCATGAGAATCATCTATCCTCAAGCTCCCATGAGGATCGCTAAGCTCCCGAAGAGAAGATACACCCGTATCAGTGGTCTTGTCACATTTACCAAAGCATTCTGAAAGAGATTTCGAGAGTGGGAAGTACTTATTAATCGTTCTCCATGATTGTTGTGAATTTACATTAATAGGTTTCTTTTATCTAAAGGGCGGAATAAACCATTACCTGCTGTTGGATGTTCTACATTGATGTCCTTCATATCCTAATAAAGTCTGTTTTATCTGAGATATTAATGGTCATTTCTGATACTCTTTTCTTGGCCCCTTGAATTTTTTGCTGAATTTGATGCGGAAAACTACACTTCTTGATTCTGCAAGATTCTGATGACCCATATACTGTAAAATGCTTCTTGCAGGGAGTACCTGAACAGAAACTCAGGGCTCACTTGGGTTCTTTTGGTGTGACGGGTAGTCTTGCGCTTCAACCAATGTACACTTTGTCAGGTAAGAGCAACACATGATTTATTATTAATTTCGAAAATCAATGCAGCCTATTGTCATACATGATTTTTCTCGAGTTTGACATGCTAGTTTGGGGTATGTGTGCATGTTTAATATATGTACTGTTTGGAGTTTCTGTGCATTATTATCAATAATAATGCGTAGTATTGTTGTCTCAGTAGCACTTTGCCTAGGCATGTACTGGACATGCAGAACTTACTATCTATTTTGCATTATTTATTTCAGGTGGTCAAAAGAGCAGGGTTGCATTTGCAAAGATCACCTTTAAGAAACCACATATTATTCTTCTTGACGAACCTTCAAACCATCTTGTAAGTTCTGCGTGCTCATGGATTCATTTCTCATTTCTATGAGGCATGTTGCTTTCACAAGCCGTCTGCAATCTAAAAAATTATGCAATTCAACCGCAAAAATTTGAGTTTCCACATAAAGACGGATGGAAGCTTTCTTACAAGCCAAAAATAAACCTTGAATCTGTCAGGGTGTTTGTCTATAAATAAGATTTTTCATGTGACTGTCTGGGTTATTAAAGGCTTATCCCCTCTCATTGATGGGCTGAGAGCTCAATTTATGAAATTTTATGAATTGGCTGCCTCTTTAGAAACCAAGATATGAACTCTTCGAGAATCTATTTCTCTATAAATATGGGAGGATCCAAGATTCACTATTTATACTACAACAAACTACTGTAGCACAGACAGGAGGATCCAAGCTTCCCTATTCATGCTACAGCAAATTACTATAGTATTATTACTGTAGCACAAGCGGGATCGTGCGTTTAAAAATATTACTGTAGTATTATTGCTGTAGCACAAGGGGATATTGCAGCATTTTAAAAAGTTACTGTAGCACTAAAAAATGTATTTAAATACAGAATTACTGTAGCGGAAATAAAAAAATGGAGGCCATGCTTTGCACGGGGTGCACACTAGTCTAAAGGAATGCGTGAATCATGTGTGAAAATAGCTGTGCCGTAGTGCTACAAACAGATGTGTTTTCTCCTGAGCTCATGTAAGTTTTATGGTTGTTTTGTTGCAGGATTTGGATGCTGTTGAGGCACTCATCCAAGGTCTAGTGATCTTCCAAGGGGGAGTGCTGATGGTAAGTATTAAGTCTTCATTTCCTGTTAGTTGTCTTGTTATACCCGTTGAATGATAACTGATATTATTCCATTTTTGGTGCAGGTGAGTCACGATGAGCATCTGATATCGGGGAGTGTTGGTGAGTTGTGGGCTGTCTCAGATGGCAAGGTCACGCCGTTCTCCGGGACATTTCAAGATTATAAGAAGATGCTTAAATCTTAAAATAGTTGGATTATATTCCTCTACATTTTATTTGAGCAGGTGATGCGAGGAGTTAACTACGAAATTTTTTATGTTGAGCCAATCTGTTTTTCTTTGAGTATGTTCTCATGGTAATGTATAATGCAGATATATGATAATGATATATACTTTGCTGGTACCTATGAAGTCTACAGATTTCTTTCGAGTGTTACGAAAGTTGTAATTTCTGTTCAACAATGGTTTTACCTGTATATCCATTTGTAATGGTTAATTGTTGAATATTATCGTTGATTTATTAAAATAGAAAATACAAAAATATGTTTCTTTTGTGATAGTGAAGAATTTGTTAAAAAGTTGATGAAACAGGAAATGACAAGATATGTTTGTGAAGAAATTTTCAAAATCGCCTTAACAGAATTTTTTCTAAAGAAATCGACCCCATTTACTTTTAATTATAGAAATCGATCCATTTTGAGTTAATTACGATTTTAATTAGTCGGGGTTGTTAACCCTGACTAATTAGTAGCCTAATTAGCAATCGTAAACCTTCTCCGTTTTTTGACCTCACTTGTAATTAGGCTACTAATTAGTCGGGGTTGTCAACCCGACTAATTAGTACCGTAATTAACTCAAAATGGGTTGATTTATATAATTAAAAATGAATAAGGTCTATTTCTTTAAAAAAAATTCTGTTGAGACGATTTTAAAATTTTCTTCCTATGTTTGTTCTTGCTATTATGAGAAGTGGAAGGTATAATGAAAAGGTACCTTTGTTCTTGCTATTATTAGGAGTGGAGGGTATGTCAATCTCCGTTGCTTGCTAACCGTGCAGCCACTCGGGCAGCTACAAAGTTAAGAGGAATAATGAATTAGTTCATGATTTGATATTGGATTTTGTTGATTGATACCAACAAATTGATGATGACAGGGCATTATTCGTTAATTTCTTTTTTTGATATTGGATTTTGTTTGTCCAACAAATTCACGCTGACAGGGTATTATTTGTTGAGACTATTTTATTTTTTTGTCAAGTTTCATAAAATTGAAGAAAGAAAAACCAAAATTTTTATAGAATGCGCATCCAGGGAATCGAACCCTGGTCAGTACCGTGGGAGGGTACTATGATACCACTACACCAGATGCGCTTGTTTATGCTGTCAACTTAATTCTAATCTTCAACTTGCTAATGATTTTGAAAAAAAAATTTCATACAATGTTATCACCATTATACCGTGATAACCCATTGTTATATTTTAATAAAAACCTAACATATTGTACCATCCGGATGAAGAATGAATACAAAGGAAATATTATCAGAGTTAATCCTATAGCAGCTAACCTTGAAGACAAAAGAATTTAAAATTCATATAGTAGAACTTTTCGAACTTAATTTAATTCAAAAAACAGAATCAAATCATTCTTCTCCTGCTTTCATGGTAAGAAACCATGCTGAGAAAAATAGAGAAAAAGCAAGGATGTTCATTAACTATAAAAGGTTAATGAAGCTACTAAATTTGATGGATTCTTCATTCCTAATAGTGAATTGCTATTACATAGAATCAGAGATGCCAGATGGTTTAACAAATTTAATGCTAATTAGGCTTTTGGCAAATCAAAATAAAGGATGAAGAAAGCAAAAGGCTAATGGCATTTAGTTGTCCTAATGGTGGAGGAATATTATGTCATTTGGCCTAAAAAATGTTTCTAAAATATTCTAAAAATGGATGAATAGCATTTTTGGGCATTTACTATTTGTTGTCTACATAGACGACATCCTTATGTTCTCAAAAACTAAAAAAGAACACAAAGAACACCTAATAGCAGTAGCTCAGTTATTACTCAATAATGATATTATTTTATCCCGTAAAAAGATAACTCTAATGCAAGAGGATATCAAATTTTTAGGGAAAATAATTAAAAGTGGTCATATTGAATTGCAAGACTGTATTATTACAAAGATCAAATAGTTCAAATAAAACTTTTAAACTCTAAAAGATCTATAAAGCTTTCTTGGTTTACTAAACTATGTGAGAAGGTATATACTCAATCTCTCTGAGAATATTTCTTCACTTTAGAATAAACTTATTAAACAATAGAAGAAATATAAAACTATAAAGAATAAAGGCGTTACCCGATAGGACACAGACAAATTAAAATTACACTTAATGATATGCAATTACAAGAAATTACCAACATTAAAAAAGAAATAAAGGAACAAAAAATTATTTATTAGCCAAAATTTGGAGATACATTTGTCACAGAGACTGATGCTTCAGATACACATTGGACTGAAATCTTATTTGCACTTCTGCTAGATTGGTATCAGAGACCGGTTCAAGGGCGAAGATAAATGAATTAGACCCTAAAATATGTGCACATTGCTCTGAAAAATTCAAAGGATCAGAGAAAAATTATGCAACATATGATAAGGAATTACTAACTATTAAAATCACCATTAATTCCTTAAAAATATATTTATTATCATCCAAGTTCATTATTGAAATTGATAATCAAGCTATTGCATAGTTTCTCAAAAAGAAAACTAATTCTTTAATTGAGAATAACGTGCGCAGAATTAGATAGTCCATGAAATTAGAGAACTTTATTTACATTGTTCGATATATTCCTAGACTCACTAATATTGGTGCTGATTTTCTATCCCCACCAGCATGACTAGTTCTTCATCAGCAAAGTAGCCGGATGAAGGGAAAGCACCTACTCCCCCTCAAAATGAGGTGAAGGAAAAAGATAAGAAAGATAACTTCCCAATACCACAAATAACTCAAGTCCTCAATAAACACCTGCACGGTTTAGGCTTTCCTTGCCTTTGAAAGAAGTTGGATACTAATGAACAAGACATTGAAATCATTGCCCGATTCCTTACTACTCTGGGATTAGCAGTTACTAGAGGACATACTGAAGCCATGAAATGACTATGTTTTATAATGAACCTAGAAGAATCTACGAGTAAATAAAAATATACTCATCAATTAGTTGAGTATATTAAAATAATTATGACACCTAACAATATCTATGACTGTCCTTATTGTATTAGGTGCATCAAACACCAAAGAGACTCTTAACAAAAAAGGGGCAACCAGCAATGAATTTGTTCCTATTAAAGGAAAGACAAAGCGGGAAGGAGAAGAAAAAAACTTCCAGAATAAGAAGCCCAATACTCCCCAAGGATATTGGAAAAGGCCTCTTCAATTCAAAGATATTGTAGTCAAAAACTGGTATAATACTAGTTTACTTGAAAAAGACTATACAACCATAAACAATCTCCAAAAGAAACTCCAATAAATGCAGGTTTCTACTCCAGATATTAATGCTTGTTTATCAGCATTAGAAAAAATAACCAAGTACAATAATCGAAAGATTCAAGACCTTAAAAAAGGATACCATTGATGCAAAAGCATCATGGAAAATCTTATGAGTAAGTCAACATTGATAATGTCAAAAGTATTGAAAATTCAAAAAAAGCAAATGCGAGATTCTTCGGGTTCAAATTCTAAAGATCTAAGAATAATCTTAGAGGAAATTGAAATCAAAGATGCAATCGCTAAAATTGATTATTTTGTCAAACTAATTAACTATTTCAAGTTTGATATTTCTAAATATCAATCACAGAGAAAATTAAAAGATATGTCCATGATCAGGCAATGCTCTCATTCTTTGAAAAGCTGAAGGATGATGGCATAAGTTCATATTCAAATTAGCATAAAAAATCACATTAAATCAATATGATCGGCCAAGGGTACTTGCCAGTTTGAGCTCATACCCTTATATAAGAAACATTTTAAAAAGGGTCTAGTACACAAATTGTATCTTGATAAAACAAGGCCCAAGAAATATAAGTCCTTAATTCCTGATATATGCAGTCAGACACTTGAAGAAATAGGTAAATTCCAAAAAGTGTTTGAGTTCACCATATGGTCAATATGGGAAAAACACAATCTGTTCGAGTTCTATCATTCTTATCAAATTTGGAGGATGGATTTGCGACGCTCCTGTTTTTACACATGGCTACAGTCCAAAGTAAATCTAGAGATATCAAACCTGTCATGCACCCAACACTGTGCATAAACATGTTTCACTGTCACAATCACTATCACTATCACTATCACTATCACTCTAGCAAATATCAAAGACAAGTAATGAGGGTACAAGCAGATATAACAAAAGTGAGAATACAAGAAACACAATGAAGAGAAGAAATATCTAACAATTTCTATAATTATGTCCCAACAGAAGAAAAGAATGTACATCTGATAACTGAGACAAGAATAATAAATCTCTAACACATAAGAGTTAACTTAAAGGTACATAGGCACTCAGCCTCCAGAATAAAACATATCTAAAAGAGTTAAAACAAAATATAATAGACTATTGTGGAGCACTAACTAACTATCTATAAATAATAAAAATCTATGTTGAGTCCCCGTCAACCTGCGGCTCTCGAACTCCTGACTCACTGCCTAAAAAAGATGAAAACAACGAGCGTCAAAGTGCTAGCGAGAACATCTCTACCGCCCCTAGGGGGAAGATGTTAGGTGCTAGTTCTTCATCAGCAAAGTAGCCGGATGAAGGGAAAGCACCTACTCCCCCTCAAAATGAGGTGAAGGAAAAAGATAAGAAAGATAACTTCCCAATACCACAAATAACTCAAGTCCTCAATAAACACCTGCACGGTTTAGGCTTTCCTTGCCTTTGAAAGAAGTTGGATACTAATGAACAAGACATTGAAATCATTGCCCGATTCCTTACTACTCTGGGATTAGCAGTTACTAGAGGACATACTGAAGCCATGAAATGACTATGTTTTATAATGAACCTAGAAGAATCTACGAGTAAATAAAAATATACTCATCAATTAGTTGAGTATATTAAAATAATTATGACACCTAACAATATCTATGACTGTCCTTATTGTATTAGGTGCATCAAACACCAAAGAGACTCTTAACAAAAAAGGGGCAACCAGCAATGAATTTGTTCCTATTAAAGGAAAGACAAAGCGGGAAGGAGAAGAAAAAAACTTCCAGAATAAGAAGCCCAATACTCCCCAAGGATATTGGAAAAGGCCTCTTCAATTCAAAGATATTGTAGTCAAAAACTGGTATAATACTAGTTTACTTGAAAAAGACTATACAACCATAAACAATCTCCAAAAGAAACTCCAATAAATGCAGGTTTCTACTCCAGATATTAATGCTTGTTTATCAGCATTAGAAAAAATAACCAAGTACAATAATCGAAAGATTCAAGACCTTAAAAAAGGATA